AACCAGATCCATCCATTACTTTCCCTGCTCTTAAAGCTATTGATACAGATGGTAAACTTTGTCCTGCAGTATTGACTTCCTGTAGACATACGGAGCTGTGTTATCTCTGAGCTTAACTCTGTCACTATCAATAGAGTTGATTCATATCCTCATATACTCATTGCATATTTGGACTCTTGCTCAAATTAAAAAATAACTTGAATTCCTGTTGTTGCTCACAAGACTGCAAATGAGTCTGAAAAATGTTAAAACACATTCTTGAATAGCTCCATCACACTAATAGATTTTAAACTCTACTTTACTCTCCATCACACCAAAAATAATTATGGCTTTTCAGATATTTTAGAACACATTCAGCTACCGTGTGAATACAAAACACAAAAGTTACAACAAGTAGGAAACTACAATATCATATCATCAGCCTAATACCTGCATCACGAATTTCAGACTTCTAGTCATCGTGCAATGCATACTGGGAACGATTTTCCAAAAAAGTGAGCATCAAACCACGTGTATAATTTCCCAGTGGGATGCGTCTATTGACAAAGTCAGTCTTTTCTAGTCTTTTGAACCATATCACTTTTGTTTCTGGTTCTGACACTGTCATATTTTAGTTGTGGGATTCGAGCATCATAATTGTGTGGTTGTTGGATGTCCTAACCGCAAAAAATGGGCTTTGGAATCAGATCTGTGTGACTGCAAACCTCTGTGTTTCCCTTCCCAACAGAACAGAAAAAGGCGATGGGCAGTATTGATACACGGGGAGGACTAAAAAGGTAACCTTTGACTGCCTAAAAAATCATCCCGAGTTTGCAGCAAAGATTTTGTATGTGGAGCGCCATGAAAGCGGGATCCCGTTTGTTAAGTGAGAGGTGCAGAAGACAAACAGTTTGAGCTCGCACTTTCTTTACAGCAGCATCACGTCTTGGTTGCTTTGCAGTGGAAGGTGTTTCTTGGCAAAGAGCTGGTGCCTTTCGCTTTGGCGTTGACTTTTTAAATTCGTAACCAAGGTTGAGTGAGGGATCGCGATTTTGCTTTGATGGCGCTCCACATACAAAATATTCGCTGCAAACTCGGGATGATTTCTGAGGCAGTCAAAGGTTTCCTGTTTCATCTTTCCTGTGTATCAATACTGCCCATTGCCTTCGCCTTTCACTATTTTTCTATTCCGCTGGGAAGGAAAACAGTTTGAACGGAGGTTTGCAGTCACACAGATCTGATTCCCTTTTGCATTTATGGAGTTCCCCAACTTCTGAAGCCCATTACTTGAGCCGTTTTCCACTGTTAGGACATCCAACAACCGCACAATTATGATGTTCGAATCCCATAACTAAAATATGCCAATATCAGAACCAGAAACAAAAGTAATATGGTTCAAAAGACTTGAAAAGATCAGCTTTGACAATAGAGGCATCCCACTGGGAAATCAAACATGGCGGTTTGATGTTCACTTTTTCAGAGGATCCTTCCCAGTATGCATTGCCCAATGGCCGAAAGTCCGAAATTTGGGATGCTAAATTAAAGGTCTTATATTACTGAGCTTCAGTGACGTAGACAAATAATAAAGGGTTACTCAAAACCTCAAAACACAACTCCAGGTATGTTTTTGATGAGGTAACATTCTAACATGGCTTAAAGCTCACAAGAATCAATTTTGCATAATATAGACCTTTTAATGTGCATGTTGCTAATCCTGTTTACAACCATGTATGCATTCTATACGGGACCTTGTAAGGCTACTTTGCATTAGCACAGCTTGATTAAATGTGTAGAATCATTGGGCTAATAAAACTCCATCGCTAACATAAATGCCACTTTGAGCTGCCGTGAGTACATTGTGCACGTAGACAGTAGACCATGACTCAGCGAAATCCACTTTAGAGTCCCATTCCCTAAAGACTAGATTGGCACGCTGACAAGTCCAACGCAAAACTGCCCCACCGAGACCAATGAGCACAGGAGCCTCGTACGGGCTGAACTCCTCACATAAAGTATACTGTAACTCTGGATATAAATTATGACTTAAGAGTGCACTATAAAGGACTACCTAAATGAGTAAAAGTGGAAGGAATTCAGAGTTGTTAATCTTGTTTTGATAAGATTTTTTGGTAATTCTTCAAGTTATTTTAAATGGCATGGTTTGGATAGATTTTTTTTTTAAAGGCCCATGTTACGCTACTTTCTGATCAATGTTACAAATGTTGTTTTCTCATCACAAACATACCTGGAGTTGTGTTTTGTTTCATTCACACAAGTTGGTAATACAAGAAGAGCTCCACTGTGTTTTTAATCTCCAAACACTTTCACTAGAATCATTTGGATGATTTCAGATCTGAAATTACCAATCTCCACGGAACAAAAGGTAAAAGGTAGCTGTTAAGTTGAAACTTACTGCTTCATGACAGCACCAGGTGGAACAGAGCATTTTGAGCTTTGGACATTTAGACAATAATAATAAAGGATTACTCAAATGTCTGAATGAAATAAAACACAACTCCAGGTATGATTTTGATGCGGTAACAACATTCTAACATGTCTTAAAGGGACAGTTCGGAATTTCAGACATAGGGCCTCATTTCCTTGTGAGCCAGAGTGTTGGAGACGTGGAGACACTTCTTTAAATATTTCATCCAGTCCTTGTATTTGCAGAGGTCGATGGTGAAAAAAAGTGTCTCCACACGTCTCCAACACTCTGGCTCACTAGGAAATGAGGCCCTATGTCCAAAATTCCAGACTCAAGAGTCAATTTTGCATAATATAGGACCTTTAACCAAAATGTAAGTGCAAAAAAAATGCATACTGTTGTTGTGTCCTTAAGCAAGACATTTCACCCACATTGCCTATGTATGAATGTGGTGTGAGGGCTAGTCTACTCCAGGGCAGCCGTGGCTCCAGAATGACCTTACCATCCCGATGTGTGAAGTGAATGAAATTGTAAATGAAATGTCTTATTTTTACAAATGAAACGAGTTAGAAACTGTACAAACTGAAAACAAACTAAAAACTAATTCAAATCATTTTAATTGTCATTTTTGTTCAGTGTGGTCTTAATTAGTCATGTGATGTTAAGAAAGCAAAAGTATACGCACATGCAGTTTCATCGATGGGATCACTGGCGTCGGTGGCATGCATTTCTTTATGAGAGAGAGCACAAGATAGACATAATACAAAATGGAGGTGAACATCAACAGTACACATGCATGGTACGAGTCCACAGGAGCGCAGTGCATGCTAATGGAGGATTACTGTACACAGAGAGGGATCGCCACAGAGAGACAATATCGGTGACATACTGTGGTTGAAAAGGTGGTTGGGCTGCTGTTGTAGGTGTACCTAAGTGGTAGAAAGAAGGCTGCTTTTCTCACTGGTTGAACATAGAGGGCGCTACAGTGCTTGGAGAGATTCATTCTGCTTTTGGTATTCAATCCGAAAAAGCACAGCAAAATAGTGGACACAAAAATGGCTTGTAATATGAAAAAAGTAGCTCTGAGCGTGTTTAGTGACAGTACGTTTGATGGTGTTAATTATAGCGTAACAGTGCAGCGACCATGTTAAGTTGAAAATAACTTTAACAAACTTTTATCATTGTTAAGTTCCACCATTTGCTAAATCCTAATAGTTAGTGTTGCATAATATAATAGGCCTATGTGTTATTGCTAAGTATTAATCCTATTTATTAATTCAGAGGTTCTTAACATATTCCAGTCGCAACCCCATAACAAAAGACATTAGTATTTGTGATCCTCACCCAAAAAGGCTGACTGCAAAATGGTGGAGGGTTTGCCACATGCTTGTCACCATGGAGATGTTATTGCTTTCTTATGAATGTTCCACAGTATAGCATTAAATGTGAAGTCACCAAGCCAAGCTCTAAGTCAAATCTACAGAAAGATGCTATGATCTGATACCGGTATTAGATATCGGCGCCAATACTGAAACATTTGCTGTATGAGATATCGCCAAAAAATGTATGTGATAAGACTATTTACTAGGGATGTAAAAATAACCAAAATATTGTATCATAAAAGGTCTCTTAATAATATCATGAGCTGACACAATACATCAAATCACAAGCTAATTTGCTTAAATGCATGGTTTTAGATCAATAACAGCTAATAAACATAGGGAACTACATATCCCATGATTCATTTCAGTGTATACAACATGTTTTTTTACTTTAATTCTTGGGATTATGACAGTATTGATTTGCATAGTGTCTTGTTAAATTATTTTAAAAGCAATAAGTATCCTATCTACAATTGCTTCTCCAAAATATCGCAATAACTATCATACCGTGAGATGCATATTGTGATGATATTGTACCGTGAGATTTGGATATCGTGACATCCCTACGATTTACTGGCCATACTCGGTTAAGTAACTCTCATAATATTTGATTTGTACAGTGTTTACAAAGTTATTCTGTATTCCCTGGTGGTATAAATAACAGCTATGTAACACATTTGTATCCGTTTTATTTTAGTTTAAAGGAAATAAATGCTGTTTTGCGTCTATGTACTGATATCGGTTAATATCGGGTATAGTATTAGAGTATTGGAATTGGTATCAGAACTGAAAACTGAGATGGATTGGTGTATCCTTATGTATAAATATATGTAAGATATGTTTTTAGGTTTTAAAACATCTGTAATTGAATAAATAAAGTGTATATGCTGAAAATATTGAGAAACACCCAAGAAACAAGCAAATGACAGACCCCTATTATTAAATGCACTTTTAAGCTATTTTGGTCCACTATTATTACTGTTTATGACACACACACTTCTTGGGCGTCAAATCTCAAAAAAATCAACACCAAATCCCATCTACCACTGCCAATCCAAACTCAAGAGTATTTTTATCGCTAACAATTTGCCTGGCGTTTGTCAGTGCCCCCCAGGTCACGATACACCCACAGCAGATGGTCCCCTCTGCAAGCATGAATGGCCCGGTGAGTGGACAGAGCACAGCCCAGTCTAGCCCCCCTGCTGGTCACTCACAGGTATGCCGCTTTGCCCTCCTCCAGCTCCTTGCCCTTGCCCCCGGTGGCGGTCTTCTTTCCGCAGAGGGTCCGCGTGATGCACATGAGCAGCCCGCAGTGACGCAGGAAGAAGCAGCTGACGTCCACCAGCACCAGGAGGAGCAGCAGCGCCCCCAGACCCAGCCCCACCACGGCCCCCAGACCCAGGCCGCTGAACAGGGATTCTGCTAAGGCGGGCAACCGGAGGATAGGGGGGGAGAAAACGGGAGAGAGGAGGAGGGGAGAGAGAGAGGGAGAAAATACTGTTAGCAAGCCTGGAATATATATGGACAAGACCAAATTTTTAACAATAGTGGAGTGGAATAATAAGTCATTGTAATAAATAAAATAAAACGAAATAGATAGAAAGTCCTTGTAGTTTCTATGGATGATATTGGACATTCTCGGAGTTCGTTTGGTCCTGGGGTGGTCTGACGTTCAGTCTCACAAAGACATGTCATTGATTGCTCTCATGTGAAGTGCTTCTGTCTTGGGAGAGCGCAGAATTGACTTTGCAGTTACACTGGAACAGGCCTCACAAGTCCACGTTAATGACCCCTGCCTTTTTCAATCCACACTATTCCAAGTATTTAGACTGAACAAAAGAACACAAATAAATCACTGGATTCATAATATTACAATCATCGCCATTCATACCTCATGTATAAAGGCTCAAAGGACTTATGTAAAGCTATGTAAACCACTACTGCAGATTGAAACCAAATCTAAAACAACATTACAGATGTAAACTAGGACAAAAAAAGAAGAAGAAGAATCTGGATTAAATTGACTTCTAAATTATAAATGAGCTTGTGCACCATACCACAGTTTGAGACACCCAACATAAATATATGTTCTCCTATGGAGAAAAATAGACAATTCATACTGTTCTTTGGTTCATTCAAAACAGAATATGAAAAAATACAATGCATATATGTTTACCTTTAATAAACGTGACAAAGTTGTAAAATAAAGGTACAAATTTTCAGATTTTAACCTGAAAAATACATTTGCATCCATGTCATGTCAAATCTGCCATTTTCATCTTTCAGCTTTATCTCCTTACCCCACACATATATTATTTATTTTTTTATTATTATTATTCATGTAGAGCACAGCCATTCAGCTGCCCAAAAGTGATGGGACAGAGGACAGTGTTGCAGTGCCACTACCTAAAGCCCTTCTAAACATTATCCTTTGCATTATGAAAAAATAAACAAAAATACAAAAACTGTTTTGGCATTATGTTGTTCTTTTAAATGTCTGTGGTAGTTAATCATGTTTATTGTTTCAGATGTCAAAACTTGAATTCACACGCCAGTCACAGCTGTAGTCGCTTGATTTTTTTTAAATGGTAAAGTGAAAATAGAAAAAAAAAATATATATATATATATATATATGTTTAAAAAAATCTGAGGAAAAATGCACCCCTGACTACCACCTCATTTTATATATGCATCATGACAATGTTTTCACTGAGCTTGGCTGGTTCCATAATGCAAAACAGGAAGCAGCATCGTGTACAGAGCGGCTGTGTACACGAACATTTTCTGATCTATGTTATGAAGTTGTATTCTCATTAATCCTTGTCCTCATTTTGCGTAGGATCTGTAAAGGTGCATTGTGTAATTTTTCTGGTGAAGGGTCTGTCAAATACTTTTCTCCATGGAGTTGATGTTATTGCTTTTTCTGGAATGTTAAACAGTATGGTTAAACCTTTCTATCTTCATGGAGACCAAATCAAACCAAGTTACAAGTCACATCTCTGGAGAGGCGACCCCGCTCACAGTCAGAATGCCTTTTTCTTTGTATTTATTTTAGCTACAAAATAACCTGTAATTGATTAAATGTAAGGTAGAGCTGTTTAACGTCATACCGTGGAACATTCCAGGCAGAGCAATGACATATCCATAGTGACAAGCAGGTGACGGACCTTGAAGCAAAAAGTTACACGGTGCACCTTCAAAGTAATTCACAAATACTTTCATTGCTCTGGCTACTGGCCTGTTTTAGACCACCAAACTTCCATGAGCACAGCTGAAGCTCTTTGAAGGGCAGTGAAGTCTGTGCAGTGCCTGCTCTGGCCCCTGTCCAACACTTAGATAAGTCCTAATCCACCAACACCTCGGCTCCTCTCTCTCCCCAGTGGAAGAACTCAATTAGAATCTCCTCCAAAACAAATCAATTTCTACTGCCCGACCGTCGCTATACACACTAGAAGGTGAAGGTGGTCACTTTCACGAAAAATATTAGTTTTGTACTTTTAAAATACATAAAAATACATGTTTTGTAGACACAGCATTTACCCCTAAACAAGTTATGTCAGTATGGGGCAGTAGCAGCTAAGCACGTCACCCAAAAACCAGAAAGTTGGGGGTTCAGCTGTGATTAAGTGCATACTGCTGTGTCCATGGGCAAAGCATTTCAACCACCTTCCCTATTTATGAATATGGTTGGTGATGGACATGTTTCATATTTGTTTTTTTAGTTTTACTTCTCATTAAGGTGAACTGTTTGACTTTTCTGGCAGGGTTAGTGTTAGATACAGGTTTAGACTACGTTTATATGATGACGGTCTGAACAGAAGACGCAAAAGTGGCGTCGCGTCTTCGCTTTTTATTCCGCATTTAGACGAGCGTTTTCAGGAGGAAATCTGCGTGCATACAGTGACGCAAAAGTGTGTGGAGTTCAATTGGGTATTTCTTGCCAGGTTTCTGTGTACTCTAGGTATGTGCCGTAAACGCGTACGCGACGTAAGCATATCTGACCAGAGTTTTGCGCCTTGGGCAGTGTAGATGGAAACACAACGGCGGAGTGTATACAACTTTTCTACTCTGGAGGGTAGTTTCAGATTTTTGCGTTTTTAAGCACCAAAAATGTCGTCACCGTCTAAACGAAAGGCACTTCCGATAAAATATTTTGGAATGTTTACCTTTACCTCTGCCATTTTTAAATACACCTTTAATACGTAATATACTTTTATAGATGCTCTACTACATTTGTACAGTCTTAAAAATGTGAAAAGCAAAACTAGTTAATTTTAAATGATTTGCAAAGGTCCTAAATTATTCCTCTTTCACCTTATGCACTCCTAGCATCATAAGAATTCACCGCCATGAGTAAAGCTAACAACAAACAACAAAATGCTTTATAATTTGATGCAGACAGCACAAAGTGGACATAATTTGACCTAAAAAGCTGCTTATACAACCAATCTGTACTAAGGCAAGACACATTTTGCTCAAATACATGGGAAAAAATCACATATAGAAGCTGTAAGTGATATTTCATAAGATATTATAATTTTTTTCACATTTACTTTTACTTCTCTTCCATCCATATATTCATACCAATTATCTTCGACAAAGTTCTGAAGTTAAAAGTGTTCCTTCTTGTTAGCATGCCACTGTACTCCGGCTCTTTTAACTGCAGGATGTCACTTATTTCACAGCTAGCAGCACTTAGCGTATAGCATTTGTGTCCAAAAGACTAGTGGAGGCAGTGTGGTCTCCAAATAATGAGAAAATGAGCGCGGTATTGTAAAGCAGGTCTCCCGTGGGCTCGCTGTGAGGCAGTGCATGGTAGTGCGCAGTGGAGCAGGTTGGACAAATGTGGATTGGCGATGGCAGCTGGAGGTCAAGGCCTGCCTGGAGAAATGAGCTTCGGAACGGTCAGGACTCAAGGATGCTCTCGAGTGGGGAGTGGGAAGGGGCTGCAGACTGTCAGAATAGGACGGGAGTAGGCACAGGAAGAGGATACTACTATTGTTTTAACCAAAAAGGAGCTATACCATTCAAATGTGGTTGTAAAGAAATATTGTAGTACCTTATGTTTTTATTTGCCTTTTCAATTGTGTATATTCCAGTTAGGTTAGATTAATATTCTGGTTATTCTGGTTAGAACACTGGAATTCCCCCCTTATCTTTCCTTAACATCAACAATGCAAAATCTGGTATCAAGAAAAGTATAATTCTGTATTGTCGCTTTGTGCAGAATATTTCACAAGATAAATGATACAGAAGAGACAACCACACTTTTCAATACTGATGAATATCTGGAAAGATTGTATAAGACAAAAAAATATCTAAAATTTTCATATATTTGAATGAGAAATGAGAGTGAGATGATGAGAATGTTACAATTGAAAAACAGATGTCAACAGTCCTGTTTTATAACTATAACAACACTGACTCTTGTGAACTTTAAGCCATGTCATGAGTTGTGTTTTGTTTCATTCACACATGAGTAATCCTTTATCATTAGTTTGTCTATATCTCCATAGCTCAAAATGCGCTGTTACACCTTGTGATGTAATTGAAGTTGTAGTTTTCAATTTAAAGGTTGTATAGAGGATTTTCCAAGGAACGAGAAATCCAGCGACTGTTTGTCCTTTTTCAAATGTTGCGCATGCGTGAAACCACCCCCCCTCCCTACAGCTCCCTACGTAGAAACGCCTTCTCCCGCCTCCTCTTTACGCCAGAAACAGGTTTGTTTACAGCCGGTGCGCTGCACATGACTTGTAAACAACTAACTACAGTGTTGGTTAGGCAAGGCGGAGAAGTGAGGAGCGGGGGGAGCGGGTGTGCGCGGACATTTCGTTCGCGGACGAGAAGTGAGGAGCAGGGAGAAGAGCGGAGCAGGGAGAGAGGAGAGGAGAGAGGAGAGGGAGCGGTGCGCGGAGATTCCGTGCCCGGAGAAGTGAGGAGCAGGGGGAAGAGCGGAACGGGCAGCGGGGACAGGAGCAGGAAAGGGGAGCAGAGAAGAGTGCGCGGAGATTCCGTGCGAATGAACTAGCTACAACACGCAGCAGCAAGCGGACTCTTTCTTTGCCTTGAAAATTACGTTTTCAGACATAGGATATCGCTTTCGTGTCCTGAAAAACGTTTGACTAGCTCTTGGAAATAAAGTACGTTTTCATAATAAGCAGAAGTTACCTGTCCAGGAGTAATTTGGCGACCAATGCGTCAGTCTTTAGACCCTGCGTCTGCTTCAGTTGCGCCATCGCTGGAATGAATCTTCAAGAATCACCTTAGTTTTGGCTTCGCTGCTTTTCCCCTTGTCTTCTTCTTTCAGCGACCTCAAAAACGGACTTTCTTTTGCGGCTAACTGCTCCTGGATTCTTGTCTGCCATTGCAACAAACTTTGTGCTAACTGCGAGGAAGATATAGGTCAAAAAAAGCCGCTAAGA